TAAATAACCCAAAAATGAAACTAAGAAAACTATTCTATTTACAATAGCATCAGAAAGAATATGCAATTAGGAATAAACTTAGCAAAACAAAGGCAAGGCTTCTACACCGAAAACCATAAAATATTATTGAAAACAATTTTTACACCAGGCGTGGTGGCTCACGCCTGTAATCCCAGCACTTTGGGAGGTCGAGACGGATGGATCATGAGGTCAGGAGATCGAGACCATCCTGGCTAACACAGTGAAACCCAGTCTCTATTAAAAATGCAAAAAAATTAACTGGACGTGGTGGTGGGTGCCTGTAGTCCCAGCTACTCGGGAGGCTGAGGCAGGAGAATGGCGTGAACCCAGGAGGCAGACCTTGCAGTGAGCCGAGATTGCAGCACTGGACTCCAGCCTGCGCGACAAAGCGAGAGTCGGTCTCAAAATAAATAAATAAATAAATAAATTTTTAAAGACTTGGATAAATGGAAAGACATTCTGTGATCATGAATTGGAAGACTGCATATTGTTAAGATGGCAATATTCTCCACATTGGTCTACAGATTTAATGTAATCACTATCAAAATTCCAGCTACCTTTATTGCAACAATAGACAAGCTGATTCTAAAATGGAAATGGAAATACAAAGGACTCAGAATAACCAAAATAATCGTGAAAAAGAAGAACAAACACGGAGGTCTCATACTGCCCAATTTCAAAATGTACAACAAAGCTACAGTAATCAAGACTATGTCATACTGGCATAAGAAACAGATATATAAATCAATGGAACAGAATTGAGAGTACAGAAACAGGCCAGGCACGGTGGCTGATGCCTGTAATGCCAGCACTTAGGGAGGCCAAGGCAGGCAGATTGCTTGAGCTCAGCAGTTCGAGACCAGACTGGGCAACATGGCAAGGCCCTATCTCTAATAAAAATACGAAAAAAAAAAAAAAAAAAAACTCAGGCATGGTGGTGCATGCCTGTGGTCCAGCTACTCAGGAGGCTGAAGTGGGAGGATAGACATTTGAGGCCATGAGGCAGAGGTTGCAGTGAGCTGAGATCACACTACTGTACTCCAGCCTGGGTGACAGAGTGAGACCCCGTCTCAAAAAAAAAAAAGAGAGAGAGAGAGAGAGAGAGAGACAGAGAGTACAGAAACAGACATATTTTTGGTGAATTGATTTTCAACAAGAGTTCCAATACCATCCAGTGGAGAAAGAATAGTCTTTTCAACAGATGGTGCTTGGACAACTTGGATGGCCATATGAAAAAAAAATTAAGTAGGAACCCTACCTCACACAAAAATTAACTCAAAATGGATCAAAGACCTAAACGTAAGGGCTAGAACTATAAATCTCTTAGAACAAAGAGAGGTGTAAGCCAGTGTGACCTTCCTTGGATTAGGCAATGGTTTCTTAGATAAGACACAAATCATAAACAACCAAAAAAATGGATAAATTGAACTTCATCAAAATTAAAATTTTTGTGCTTCAAAGGACTATCTAGTAAGTGAAAAGACAACCCAAAGAATAGGAGAAAATATTTGTAAACCATATCTCTGATAAGAAATTAATATCCAAAATATACAATGAACTCTTGCAACTCAACAACAAAAATTCAAAAATGGGTAAAGAATTGGAATAGACATTTCTCCAAAGATGATATATAAACAGCCATAAAGCACATTTTTTAAATGTTCAACATCATTAGTCATTAGGGAAATGCAAATCAAAACCACAATGAGATGTCACTTCACATACACTAGAAAGGCTTTCATAATAAAAAACACAAAAGATTACAAGGGTTGTCAAGGATGCCGAGGAATTAGATCCCTCATACATTGCTGGTAAGAATATAAAATGGTGCAGTCACTTTGGAAAACAGTGTGGCAGTTAAGAGGTGAGACCTTTAAGAGATGATTGGATCATGAGGACTCTGCCTTCAAGAATGGATTAATCCTTTCATGGATTAATGTATTAATGGGTTAATGGGTTATCATGGGAGTTGGTTAGCTATCAAGAAAGCAGGCCTGTATAAAAGCCGGTTTGGGCCAGGCATGGTGGCTTACACCTGTAATCCCAGCACTTTAGGGAGGCCGAGGCAGGTGGATCACCTGAGGTCAGGAGTTCCAGACCAGCCTGACCAACATGATGAAACCCTGTCTCTACTAAAATTACATAAATTAGCCAGGTGTGGTGGCACCCACCTGTAATCCCAGCTACTAGGGAGGCTGAGGCAGGAGAATCGCTTGAGCCTGGGAGAGAGAGGTTGCAATGAGTTGAGATCACGCCACTGCACTCCAGTCTGGGCAACAGAGCAAGACTCCGACTCGGAAAAAAAAGCCAGTTTGGCTGTTAGTGTACCTTCTATCTCCATGTGATGCCCTCCACTGCCTCAGGACTCTAAAGAGTAGCCACTAGCAAGAAGGCCCTTACCAGATGCAGCCCCTCAACCTCGGACTTCCCAGCCTCCAGAACCATAAGAAATAAATTTATTTTCTTTGTAAGTCACTCAGTCTCAGATACTCAGTTATAGAAATAGAAGATTAAGATACCATATGACCCAGAAATTCCACTCCTAGGCATATAGGTAATACTCAAGAGAACTGAAAACATATGTTCACACAAAAACTTGTACACAAATGTTCATAGCAACATTATTCAAAATAGCCAAAAAGTGAAAACAACCCAAATGTTCATCAACTGTTAAGTGGATGAACAACAATGTGGTATATGCGTACATTAGAATATTATTAACCATAAAACGGAAGGAAGGAATGATATCTGCTACAACATGAATGGACCTTGAAAACATTGCGCTAAGTTAAGTTAGACATCAAAAGCCAGATAATGCATGATGCTGTTTATATAAAATGTCCATCATAGACAAATCTAGAGACAGAAATTGATGAGTAACTTCCAGGGATATGGTAGGGGGAGGAGTAACTGCTAATCGATACAGACTTTCTTTCTGAAGTGATAGAAATATTCTGGAATTAGATACTGGCAATGATTGCACAACTTTTTGAGTATACTAAAAGCCACTAAATTGTACACTTTAAAAGGCTAAATTTTATGGTATGTAAGTTGTATCTCCATTTTCAAGTCTATTTAATGAATCTGGCATAAGATAGGACCAGAAGGCTGGCCAGTAGAAGACACCTCACATCTCTGCTCTCCCCGTATGGCCCCAGTTGCAATCATCAGTCAAGCGTACCATCACAACAGCCTCCTTGCTCTCTTCCCAAAACCTTGCCAGATCATGTCACTCGCCTTTGGGAGTTTCCCACTGTCCACGTGTATTAATCATGCCTTTTCATTTTCTGTATTTTCTGATTTTTTGACATCTGAGGCCTTTCTGATTCTGGAGAGATTGCCCCTCCCAGGAATAGCCAATTCCTAGGGACAGTAAAGGGCTTGCCTGCAAGTGCACCTTCATATGCAAACCATTCAATCGGAAGCCCATCCCACAACTACCTCCCTTGTTGGGCTTTCACACTCTGAGCCACTGTCTCCCTGCCTTAATCACCCCACAGCCAGATGATGCAAAACTAGAGATAGCCCCTACACCCAAGAGCTCACCTTAGTTATTTACACTGGCCAATCCTAAGCCTGCCTAGCCTGCCTCTCCTTACCCTTCCCCAGGAAATCACAATAAACACTCTTGCCCATGTTTTTGCCCATGTTTTCCCCCACTCCCTCTGCCTCCTGACCCACCCTGGCGCTTCCCCATGTGGCCCTGCATGGCCTGCCGTGTCTCCTGTCTCTAGGGACCTGTGAGTAAAAACATCTTCCTTTACAAGCCTCATTTCTGGGCCTGCATACCCAAATAAAACAAATCCCAGGCACATAAGCACCGCCCTCTAAACTTAGCTCCACCTCCCCTTTCCCACCTAGCTTCTCACCAACCTGACACTCCCCAAACTCTCACCACCCCACACTTCCTAGGCATGACATGTTCCTTTGTCACCAAGCCTTTGCCCATGCTGGAGCCTCCACCTAAGTCCCCTTCCCAGTCTTTTTGCTTATTCCTGTGTCACCAGCAAGCCTCACTTCATGATACCCCTTCTGGAGACCCACTAGGACAACCACGTTGTATGTGCCACGCCCTCCCTCCAAGCCCTTAGTCTATGTATCTGTCTGCTGCTCTTCTTGATGAGTTTCTACAGGATGAGGACTGTGATTCCTCATCCCTGGATCCCCAGGGCTTAGCACAGAGCCAGGAAATTATTGGCAACTCAGTAAAGGTAGAATATGAGACAAGGTCACACCCTGTTACCCAGGCTGCAGTGCTGTGGCACAATCATGGCTCACCGCAGCCTCAACCTCCTGGGCTCAAGCAATCCTCCCACCTCAGCCTCCCGAGTAGCCAGAACTACAGGTGCATGCCACCACCATGCCTAGCTAATACTTTTTATTTTTTTGTAGTGACAGGGTCTCATATTGCCCAGACTGGGCTTTTATTTTTTTAATACAAGAAATATCCCTGGCCAGGCGCGGTGGCTCACGCCTGTAATCCCAACACTTTGGGAGGCCAAGGTGGGTGGATCACCTGAGGTCAGGAGTTTGAGATCAGCCTGGTCACCAGTAGAGACTGGTGAAACCCCGTCTCTGCTAAAAATACGAAAATTAGCTGGGCATGGTGGCGGGCACCTGGAATCCCAGCTACTCAGGAGGCTGAGGCAGGGGAATCACTTGAACCTGGGAGGTGGAACTTGCAGTGAGTCAAGATCTCACCATTGCACTCCAGCCTGGGTGACAGGGCAAGACTATGTCTCAAAAAAGAACAGCAACAACAAAAAAAGAAATATCCCGAACAGGCAGGTAAGCTCTTCAAGGATGAAGCCTAACTTACCCTCTAAATTCTTAGCAGGACTGAGCACACAGACGGGCCCCAGTAAAGGCTGATGGGGTGGCTGAGTGAACAGAAATGACGACTGAGCAAATCAGCAGTGGGAGGAGGTGGGTGGGGAGGCACAACTGGTCTCCCTGCCTGAGGCACAAGCTCTACTCACACTGTTCTTCCCACTCTCGCTCCTCTCTCTCACTGGCTTGGCAATGCAGCTGAGCCTGCTTCAGGGTCCAGTAGAGCTCCTTTGCCCTCTGCTCTTCCTGGAGGCGAATCTGCTCTTCTCCTCGCTTCCTCTCCTCTTCCTCTTTCCTCTGAAATGTCATGGGGACAGAACAACACGACATGACCACAACATTTCAGAAAAGCAAGAAAGAAATACCTCTGGGATTCTGCAGTGGGTGGGGCTGAGAGTGCAGCAGTGGCCTCTCCAGCCTCAGTCCCTACATGTATGAAATTGAAATTACCCAGTAGTCCCATAGACAGTTGTTTTGGATAAGCACATAAATTGTCCCTTCTGGTCTTAAAGCTTGAAACTTCTATTTGTTTTATTTGAATTGCTTCCTCAGGAAAGGATCCCTCAGGCCTCCCAAAAAGTATCAAATTACTGAAACTCACCAGATCACCACAACCAGACTATGAGACGCCTGACCCCTCAATGAGATGATTGCTTCCTAGCTCCTCCCTAGTTCCTGTTTTTGTACACATTGTTACATTTCTTACCTGCTACATAAACCCCTAGTTTTAGTCAGTTAGAGAGATAGAGATGGATTTGAGGCTGAGCTCCCATCTCCTGTGCTGCAGCACCTGATTAAAGCCTTCCTGCTGGGCAATACTCATCATCTAGGTGATTGACTTTCTGTGCCGCAAGCAGCAAGACCTGGATGGAACCCTGGTGTTTTAGTAATAAAGTGGTGGTGATCATGCCACCTAACTGACAAGGTGGTGGTGAGGAGAAAATGGGTGGAAACAGGTGGAATGCCACAGACTACTACACAGCCATAAAATAGAATGAAGTCACGTCCTCTGCAGTAACATAGATGCATCTGGAGGCTGTTACAGTAAGTGAAAGAACACAGAAACAGAAAACCAAACACTGCATGTTCTCACTTATAAGTGGAAGCTAAACACTGGGTACTCATGGACATAAAGATGGGAATGACAGACACTGGGGATTACTGTAAGTGGGAGAGAGGGAGAAGGGGAATGACTGAAAAAGTGCCTATTGGGTACTATGCTCACTACCTGGGTCAAGGGTTCAATCATAACCCATACTTCAGCATCACACAACATACCATTGTAACAAACCTGCACATGCACCTCTGGAATCTAAAATAAAAGTTAAAAAAAAAGAAAAAAAAAAAGGCTGAGCACAGTGGCTCACGCCTGTAATCCCAGGACTTTGGGAGGCCGAGGCGGGCGGATCACCTGAGGTCAGGAGTTCAAGACCAGCCTGACCAACATGGAGAAACCCCATCTCTACTAAAAATACAAAATTAGCCAGGCGTAGTAGCACTTGCTCGTAATCCCAGCTACTAGGGAGGCTGAGGTAGGAGAATTGCTTGAACCCGGGAGGAGGAGGTTGCGGTGAGCTGAGATCGTGCCATTGAACTCCAGCCTGGGCAACAAGAGCAAAACTCGGTCTCAAAAAAACAAACAAACAAAAAAACAGAAAAAATAAGATCCAGTTAACTCAGGAGGCACAAGAATGGCTTGAACCCAGGAGGCAGACGTTGCAGTGAGCTGAAATCGTGCCACTGCACTCCAACCTGGGAAGGAAGGAAGGAAGAAAAGGAAGGAAAGGACAGAAAGGACGGAAAGGAAGGAAGGAAGAAAGGAAAGAAAGGAAGGAAGAAAGAAGGAAAGAAGGAACGAAAGGAAAGAAAGAAAGAAATGTGGAACAATGTGTTAACTCCACATCTTACTGCAGAGGTAAGAGGACTCTGTGCCATCCTGGCTGGGCGCGGTGGCTCACGCCTGTAACCCCAGCACTTCAGGAGGCCAAAGCGGGCAGATCACCTGAGGTCAGGAGTTTGAGACCAGTTGGCCAACATGGTGAAACCCCATCTCTACTAAGAAATACAAAAATACAAAAAATACAAAAATACAAAAATTAGCTGGGCATGGTGGCGTGCACCTGCAATCTGAGCCACTCAGGAGGCTGAGGGAGGAGAATTGCTTGAACCCAAGAGGTGGAGGTTGCAGTGAGCTGAGATCGCACCATTGCACTCCAGCCTGGGTGACAGTGCGAGACTCCATCTTGTAAAAAAAAAAAAAGAAAGAAAAAAGAAAGAAAGAAAAAGAGGACTCCGTGCCATCCTTAGGTGTACTTTCATTTTGGAGGAAGAGGGAGGAAGGACACAGTGAGGGGCGCCTGGTCTCTTCCTGAAAGCCCGTGAAGCAGGGTATGATTATGTCTTAACCTTAAGTCTGGATAAAGTATCTTAAAGAGAAAGTATATTTGAGGGCCCTAAATCTCCCATTTCTGTCCCACTCCTGAGCTCTAAAAAGGTTGTGTCCGTGTGTATTTTCTTCTACCTTTGTTTACATCAAAGTAATATGTATGTGCTAAATATGCATTATGGACCACAGGCTGCTAATGAAAATCAGCAGTCTCTAAATAACTTCACCAGAACCCAATCCAACCAACCTTAAACCAATGCTGGAAGCCACCATTTTCAACTATGTTAGCTGTTCCTTTGTTGGGCTATGTCCACATGTCTGATTAATGCTGCTAATCCTTGATTTATCAATTTATCAATCTAGATGTTAAATCTTGCCTTTCTTTTTTGGCACATGCATATTTAGCACTTACATTTCCCACAGGTGAACACCCATACTCCATACTTTTTCTCTCCTCAGCCTCACAATAAATTTGCCTCATAATTTGTGGTTAAATCAATAATCAGCATCAAAATAGTTTGCTGCAAAGCCAAATAACATGCTATTTTCATCAATTCCAAAAAGTACATTTTTTTTAACTTTGTAACATCTCTGAAATTTGGATGTGTTTTACAACTTACAGCTTGCTTTTTAATAAGCAACAATTTTTTCCTCTTAAATAATGATATGTTTTGCTATTAATGGTAACTTAAATTCAGTAAAATATGCTAGGTATGGAAGCCTTTTCTTTCCAGTCCTTTTTTCTGGTTTTTCCTGGGTTAATACATCTCGAAGCTGAATATTGAATTTTCCCAAATTTTTCCCAGATGTAGTAAGTCATTCTCTGTGTTTAACCAAGTGCTTTTTCTTATAACAGACAATACAAAAGTTATTTTTCCAAGGGACACGCCACCCCGGGTGCCATCTTTTTTTCTCCCATCTGCACTGGTTACCACCTAAGCCTCCTCTCCATCCACCCACCAATGACACACCTCTCAACCTTCCTTGAGTTGGAGCCCCTGCTTCTTTCTTGAACACTCCGCCATTTTGCAGCAACATTTAGCACTTCTCAGCTAAGAATGCATAGAGACACTTTCTGAGTCTTGTCTGAAAATGTCTATATGCCACATTTACATGTAACTGCCAATTTAGCTGAGCACAGAATTTGATTAAAAATAATTTTCCTGCAGAATTTTAAAGACTTCTTTGTCTTCTATCATCCAGAACTACCACTCTGATTCTCATTCTTGTGCACAAGGCATTTATTTTTCTCTCTGGAAGCCCCTGGGGTCTCTTTAACACCGACGTTCTGAACTTTTTAATATGATGTGCCTTGGTGTGGATTTTCTTGCACTGATTGTGTTGGACACTTGGGGGTACTTTCAGTCTGTAGCTTCTTATCTTTCCAGTCTAATTCATCTTTGCTTAGGATTTCTTTGATAATTTCTTCTCTTCTCAATTCTTGTTTTTCCTTATAGAGCTCCTATTTGTCAAATAATGGTTTTCTTGAGTTGATCTTCTAACTGCCTTATCGTTTTCCTCTCTTGCTTTCCATCTGTTGTCTTTTTCTTCTTCTTCTTCTTCTTCTTTTGAGATGGCGTCTCACTGTCCCCCAGGCTGGAGTGCAGTGGCACAATTTTGGCTCACTGTAACCTCCACCTCCCAGGTTCAAGCAATTCCTCCCGAGTAGCTGGAATTATAGGCACATGCCACCACACCTGTCTAATTTTTGTATTTTTAGGGAGACGGGGTTTCAGCACATTAGCCAGGCTGGTCTCGAACTCCCGAACTCAGATGATCCGCCCGCCTCAGCCTCCTAAAGTGCTGGGATTATAGGCGTGAGCCACTGTGTCCAGCTCCATCTGCTGTCTTTTTTGTTCTACTTCCTGGTTGATTTCATTGACCTTATCTTCCAAACCTTCTACTGAGTTTTTTATTTCAGCTATCACATGTGTAATTTCCAAGCTCTCATTCTTATTCTTTGGTTGTTCTTTTCTCTTCATTGCATCTTGCACTTGTTTTATGAATGCGATAACTCATTTCTCTGAGGATTTTGGAGCTTTTTCTTCCCACGTACTCTGATTTAGGTCTGTTTCCTCTGTGTGCGCGTGTGGTTTTTTTAAGTTTGATCTGGTGCCTGTCATACATGTGAAAGGTTTTCCTCGGCTGTCTGATGTTCCCTGACTATTCATATTCAAGAGAGAAGTAAATACCTGAATAGGAAACTCAGAGAGCATGCTCCAGGCTTCATTGAGAGGAGGACTTTGCTCTAGGGCAATCGTAGGAGAAACCAGCCATGTTGCAGGACTCTCAGATGCAAGTACCTAGAGGCCCTTTCTCTGAGATTATTCAGTGTCTTCTCCTCTGTCCTTCCTGGGTGGTATCATCCGCAGCATTCCAGGAATTGGAGGGGAGCAGACTGCAGGCAGGACTGCCCACAGCAAGCAAGGCTCCTGGCCTAAGCCCCATGCTTCACAGAAACCCATGCTTTAAAGCACCTTCTTGTAAATGTCCTCCTCAAGTCTCCCCTCAGGACTGGCCAGAAATAGTCAGACCCCCAGGAATGGTAAGGGCAGGTGGTGGTGTCCAACTAAGGTGCCCTAGGCCCAGAATAGGTTCTACATGAGCCTGACTCCCTGTTTCTTTCCTTCAGGGTGTTCTCTGATCATCTCCCTTATCAAGGGATTGAGCAGATGTCCCAAAGAACTCCAGGATTCCTATTTATGAAATCATCCTGGGCCCCAGTGTGGGGGTCCTGGTTCCAGAAGGGTAGCCTAGCAAACAGATGAATCCTGCAGGCCAGCACAGTATTTTTAGCACAGGATCACATGAGATTGGGTCACCAGAATAGTGCTAAAAGGCTGATTTTATGTGACTCAGATTTTTAATATGAACAAAGACTGCAAAGGGAAATATTTGCCAGCTCTGTATA